TTACAAATTAAATAAGGCACATACCAAAACGACCATCCACCATGGTCAAAAGTTGGCTCTATACCAGCAATGCAGCAATTGTTCAATCCAAAGTAGTACACCCAAACACATGAGCCATACTGAATGATCTCAGCAGGCTGTATTTATAAGTATACAAGTGTGTTCTTATAATAACTATAAGAATAAGAGGCTATGAATTTGAGAAAGGGGAGGGAAATGGGAGTACTTGGAAAAAGGAGAGGGAGGAGAATGATGTATAGTACTCATATATGAAATTCTTAAAATATAAAGAAATAAAATTTTAAACAATGAAGACTGGAGGATGGGAAGGAAAACTGTGAAGTGCTGACCCCTGGGCATAACATGGCTATTGCATATATCAGTTCTCACAGCAACTGTGGTTACTTGCAAGACACCTGCACATGAGCGAACCAATCCCAGTATTAATCAGAAAAGGGTTCTCAAAACCCCTGGCAAGAAGCTTTAGGCATTTGGTGGCTACTAAAGGAGGTAGAACCGTTTTTCTCTTAGGGGATGTGGTCACTGCTACGCTGCCCACACCTCAGTGGATGGTCCCATATTGTGCACAGATGCATAGCACTAGTTGGGCACATGTGGTTGTTAATAATAAAGATAAGTATGATGATAATGAAGACATGAGGCTGGGAGAGAGATGAGGAAGTGAGTTCTGGGACATAGAGGGCATTAATGGGGGTGGGGTGAACGTGATCAAAATACACTGCATACAGGTCTAAAATTAGCAAAGAATAAACACAAATATTTTTAAATTTTTATGTTTTATATGCATGTTTTAAACTATTAAAAACATTCTTCCCTCCTCCTTTCTTATTCATGGAATCATCCTTCACCAACATAGTGCCTTATTCTTGATTTTCGCATTGTTTAGAGATCCTTCCATATCATTTTTAAGGGGCCTATATGTCTGATTTCATAACTACCTTCAATTCTATTGTAAGAGTTTCTCATCAGTTATTTAATCCATCCTCTGTTTATGAGACCTTAGTGATTATTAGCACTGAGTTATTCAACAATTCTATAATAAAAGGCCTTGGATACTAAGGGGTAGCTGCCTGTTTCTGTGGAGGCCTGGGTGTAAACATTCCAGGCTTTGGAACAGATAGTCCCTATCAGAGTCAAACTGCTCTTGCAGGTTGGCACTAGCTACAGACAAATTTGGGTGAGCAAATGGGCGTGACTTGTATCCTAGTCAGGGCACTATTGATGTGATTAAGTGAAAGTAATGATGTAGTGTGAATTCTAATTGGTTTTATTAATTAAAAACCTGGAGTCAGATATTAGGTAGTGGAAGCTGAAAGATCAGAGAAGCAGAACAGCCAGCCACTAGACTTCTTACCTCTATGAAATCCTCAACTGAATGGGCTTATCCTGTCTCTACAAGATCTCAGACTATATGTCTTGAGCTCCTGTCTCCTCCCACCTTATATTCCTTTCTCTGACTAGCCTTATCCCTTCCTGTCTCTACCTCCCCCAGTGCTGGGATTGAAGGCAGGTGACTCCCAAGTACTGGGATTAAAGGTGTGAGCTATCACTGGGCATCTACGGCTAACTAGTGTCTTGCTCTGAAATCTGATCTTCAGGTAAACATTTGTTAGACCACAAACAAAATATCACCACGTGACTTGAGAAGGAAAGGGTTTATTGGTTTATCCTTCTGAATCACAGTTCCTTCATCGTTGAAAGTAGTCGGGACAAGAACTCTAACAGGACTCTAACCTGGAGGTGGGACCTGATGCAGAGGCTGTGGAGAAGAGCTGCTAACTGCCTTGTTACTCACTGCTTGCTCAGACTGCTTTCGTGGAGAATCAGGGATCATCAGCCCATGGTGGCCCTACCCACCTTGGGCTGGGGCCTTCCCACATCAATCCCTAAGAAAATGCGATACATCCTTGTTTGCCTACAGCCTGATATTATGGAGGCATTTTCTCTAATGAGGTTCCCTCCTCTCAGATGATTCTAGCTTCTTGACTAAAAAAAAAAAAGTAGTCAGTATAATTTGCTTTTCAATAACTTTCACGTTACAAAGCTGGCCTTGGGTGTTGTAAAAGCCACTTGTTCGTTTTCCACAGCCCAGACACCAGAAATAATCACACAGAAACTATATTAATTAAATCACTGCTTGGCCCATTAGCTCTAACCTCTTATTGGCTAATTCTTACATCTTAATTTAACCTATCTCCATTAATCTGTGCATTACCACGAGGTCATGGCCACCAGCAAAGTTTCAGTGCATCTGTCTGCAGCTCCATGGCTTCTCCCTGACTCTGCCTTCTTTCCCCCAGTTTTCAGTTTAGTTTTCCCCACCTAGCTCTATTCTACCCTACCAGACCAAGCCAGTTTCTTTATTAACTAATGGTATCCACAGCATACAGAGGGGAATCCCATATCACTTGTTTTTTTTTTTTCCCCCAAGACAGTGTTTCTCCGTAGCTTTTGGTTCCTGTCCTGGAACTAGCTCTTCTAGACTAGGCTGGCCTCGAACTTAGAGATTCGCCTGCCTCTGCCTCCCGAGTGCTGGGATTAAAGGCGTGCGCCACCACTGCCCGGCATCACTTGGGTTTTTGATCTGTTATTTGCTAATTCCGGACAGGAATTGTTTTAACATTTGAAATAATATTCATTAGATAAATTTTGAGTGGGAAAACAGGGAAATTTCTAGTTTTTGGAGATTCTGCCAGTTTTTGGGGATTCTACCTCCCCAGTGCTGGGATTAAAGGCATGTGACTCCCAAGTACTGGTATTAAAGGTGTGAGTGTCTCATTCTCTGCAGGTTGTCCAGCGGTGTAACTCTGTTAGCATAGCAGAAACAGCTTCTCTGGTGAAAGCTGAGTGATGTGTTGATCTGTGGGTACAACAGTGTGTCATTAGGAGTCACTTTTATTGCTATGTTCCTTTGGCCAAATAAATAATAGTAGGCTTTCCCCTAGAGTTCATAATTATCTAATCTCAATGTTCTTGGCCTAATTAATAATGTCAAGTATGGGTTCCATCTCATGGAGTAGGTCTTAAATCCAATCAAAAGGTGGTTGGTTACTTCTATAATGTCTGTGCCATATTGCACTGGTGGACATATCTTGCAGGTAGGCATGTCATATTACTGCAGCTTGAAGGGTTCATAGCAGGGGAAATTGGTAATTACTTTTATCCTCTTTTAGTGTTTCTATCACTTTCTCATCTTATTATGGAGACATCTCACTACCATTGACCTGCCTGAACACTCCAAGTGACTGCCAGGGCTTAGTTACTATAGAGACATCTCACTCCCATAGACCTGCCTGAACCCCACAGATGATTGCCAGGGCTTGGTTATCCCTGCAACTTGATGGTAAGAGTCTGTTGCTGAACAAACTACATGCTTATGGCACAGAACACTGAGAAATTGAGCTAGCAGTCAACAGGAAGCTGCACCCGTACTTGCCAGCGTTTATTTACTCTTATTGTCTTATGTGTCTGGTTTTTGTATTGATCTGTACCTTAAGTACAGATTCTGCACTTCCAGAAGAAATTTACTATTGATAAAAACGTCTTGTTCTTTCTTCGCTTACATCTTGTGTTTCTAGGGGTTTCCCATCAAGTGTGATGTTAGCCTCTTAGCTAAGAAATCCATAGTTTATTATTTTCAGTAAGTATTTGTTGATTATTAAGTATTTTTATTAGGAATAAATGCTGACTTTGAATGTCTCTACTATTTACTAACATGCTTCTTCCTCCTTGTGTATTCAAACCTTTAATATTAAATTAGTTTTAGAGGTCAATAATTTTGAATCTTTAACAATGGAGCATCCTTGCATCTGGGAATAAATTTACTTGGCTATCATTATTCTGTTGACCAGCTGCTGAGGTTTATTTGGTAATGTCACAGTTCACATTTCCCATGTTTTATTCAGCATTTACAACCTGTTCTAGTTTCAGTTTTATTTCTGTGATACATATTCTGAAGATAAAAAACAACCTTGGGTAGAAAGGGTTCATTTTAACTTTGTCTAGGACTGAGGCCTACTTTCCATAACAGCATGCTTGTTGGTGTATCCCTTGTTTAGGCAGCCATGCTGGTGAGAATTTGTGAGTGTAGCTTCCCCGACATTTCTAGGAGACACGATCTCACAGCAAACTTCCTGTTTCTTCGCCCCTTAAAATATTTCCATCCACTCTTCTCTAATGACCCCTCCTAAGCCTTCGGGACGGAAGCTGTAGATGTATTCATTGGCCGAGCTTCACAATTTTCAAACATTAAATCGACTGCGGTTTTCCTGTAGTGGTCTCCATCTTTTGCAAAGAGAAGTTTCCTTGAAACACAAGCACTATATTTACCAGTGGATGTAAGGACAAATATTGAGAATGTAGTTAGGGATTATGCTGGTTTAGTAACGCGTGAGGAGGGAGGGTCAGGCAGACTCACTGGCTAGACCCAGGAGAAGGTGGTCACGACAGATAACTTGGTAGTTTTAATTTTAGGTAAGTTGAATTTGTAGACTGATTGAGCCCTCTATGATGGATTGAAAAACTGAGATCATTTTCTCAGCGTTGGTTGGTATTACCACTGACTACCAGCAGAGGGCAACCTACGCCCAGACAACAGATTCAGTTGCAGTTCAACAGCACACTTACGAGAGCTCACGAAAAAACGTGCAGAAAACAGACAGAAGACAAAAATCATACACAGATAAATGAACCAGCGATAACAAAGAAGGTGAATTTTGAAAGTATATTTTAATACATTTATAGCAAAACTTTTTAATCAAGTTACTGGTTAAGATTTACACTTTTTTTTTTTTAAACCAAGAGCTGGTATGTCAAAATAACTCCACAGAAACCAATATTTACCTAAGTGTAATATTTGAATCCACAAATTAACCCTTTATCTCATGGAAGGCTAATTTCCAAAAGTGCTGATTATTAAACTTCCAAGTCTAATGAAATGTTTTAGGAGGAATATAATACAAAGCTTGTGTTTCTTTCAGCTTCAGGACCGAAGTCTCTGGAGCCTGGTGTGACCCTCTGAATGCTGGCCTGCTTTGGACCAGATACCCACGAGATCATGTGTGTTCTGTCTTCGTGAAAGGGATTAGTAATTTTACAAATGGGGTGGCCAGAGGTGTCCTGGCTGCTGTCCACCATGAGAGGGCTCAGCAAGGGAGTTGTGGCACAGAACCCACTGGAGGCTTGATCGGGGGCTTCTAGCCCCTAGAAAGGAGGGCAGTTTCTGTTGCTGATAAATGATCCAAGTGAAATATAGAAGGAGTAGACTCTAACAGCCAGAATACCCATCTCAATTTAGATCCTGATATGTCCTAAATCTGACCCCAAATCTTAAAAACACTTCCACATATTGAAATATTCTTTTCCTGAGTCACTGTAACATGAGGGCCTAATTGTTGGGGTTTCTGTCCTGCCCGGTACCCCCAACAAGCCAGCAAGCTTCAAAGAAATTACGGAGGACTCCATAAGATTATAAACTGATTGGGCTCATTAGCTCAGGTTTCTTATTAGCTCTTATCAGTTATATTAACCCATTATTCTGATCTATGTTAACCATGTAGCTCAGTACCTTTCTCAGCTGGGCAGATTACATCTTGCTTCTCAGTGGTCTGGGCAGAAATGGGAGGAACTGGCTTCCTTCTTCCCAGCATTCTCCTGTTCCACTTTCTGTCTGGTTTGCCCACCTGTACTTCCTGCCTGGCTAATCAGTGTTTTATTAAAATATATGATTGACAGAATACAGATAATTCTCGCATACCACCCCCCCTTTTTTTAAACAAAGGAAAATATCCATAGTCCATTTTTTGGGAATGTGGGTGTAGTTTTCCAGGCTACTTCCTGCTGGTTGGAGGTGCTGATAATCTTATGGGGACCTAAAGAAAATTTAGAGTTATAATCAAGTCCTGACTGGAGTTATCCTGTGAGTCTTGATCAATTCAGGCAGCAGTCTTGAATCTGTTCTGGATGGAGAACTCAGACATCCGGGCCATCTGTTCTTACCGGAGATTTCTCAGGTGGTCTTTCCTTGATCAAAAGCTGTATTTTTCTTAACTTAGAATGAATGCACAGCCTCTCATTTTCTGTGGAAACAAACGCAAAATTTCTCCAAAGTAACATACCTTTTGACTTCAATTTTGAAGCCAAGATATTTTCAAATATCTACTGGAATTAATTCAGCAGCATTTATAAGCAAATATCTTTTAGCAGCTGTTGCTCCTTCCTTAGCATTTAAATCATTCAAAGAGAGCATAATAGCATACAGTATCAAGATTCTCTGTATTTTCAACCTTTATGCAGCTTTATTTTAACCTCTCTTTTATTTTTACTTTTACTTTTTGAGACAGGTTCTCTGTATATCTTTGTCCTGGAATAACTCTGCAGAGCAGGCTGTCCTTAAACTCACAGAGGTACCTCCGTCTCTGCCTCCCCAGTGCTGGGATTAAAAGGTGTGTGCTACAACACCTTTAACTCACAGAGGTCAATCTACCTCTGCTCCTTGAAGTCAGAGGTCAATCTACCTCTGCCTCCCAAGTGTTAGGATTAAAGGTGTGTACCACCACACCCAACTACTCTTTTTTTTTTTTTTTTTTACTTTAAGAACTTTAACCTTTAGCCTGCATATCTTTTAACACACTGTAAACCATTTAGAGGTTCGTTGTCTTTGAATCTATCTTTACTGTATATCTCTCTTTTTCTGACCACACGAGCCTTTAATTTACCAAGCAATATGGGTAGATTTAAAGCCATGGCTTTGAAGGCTGAATCCAGCCCATTCCCTTAGCTTTATGAAATTCCCAGTCTTCCCCAGTATGGTTGCAACGAGTAAATTCCATTCCTACTTAACCGTGACTTCCTACTTATGTTTGGTTTCTGTAAAAAATAGCTACATCTATTGGAACCCTCTTTCTCACCATTGCCCCTAATCAGGCTCCTCTGACATAGGAATCTCATGGCAGAATGAGATAGAGGTTTTTAAGTGTGGGAAAAAATGCTTTGATTCTAATCTCCACGTTCTAGACAGTCTCATCCCCCACTAGTGTATCACATCGTCCCCCACCCGATAGGTCCCTCTAGATGGGGACGGCCATTAGTCTCTGCTCTACTTCTTTGATAAGTTTGTCTAATTAACTTAGCAGTTCTCTTGCTACAAAGTTCATCCTAAGGCTGCAAGGCAAAGATTGTGTTCTCTTTGTTTAAAGGTGATTTTGGCTTTTTGATCTTTTAAAGTTGATACCAGTTTATTAGTTTTTTTTTTTGTAACCAGGAGCCCCACTGGGATTTTGGTATTAAAATTGACATTCAGACCATTGACCTACCTAGAAATGTTTTGGAATTAGAGATTCATTACTAGTGGGGAGCAGTTTGTGTTGCTGTATGCACTGCTGTTTTGACTCTGTCCACATGGTGGCGCTAGCACAGAGAAAATCGTCTTGCCCGGTTGGCAAGGAGAACCCTGAGACTCAGCGTTGGTATTTTATCAAATGCCTGCATCATTTCTGAAAGGCAGACCTGAATGTCACATGGGATGGTCAGCAGTCTACCAAATACTAAAGTATCCCCAGTTTAAAAACAAAACAAAACAAAACAGAAAAAAAAAACCAAGATTTAACACTGTATGTTACAAATTGAAAATTTAAAGTCTTATCCTTCGGGTTCCTTCAGTCTTTTAATCATAAGACATGCACACACAGGTGAACACACACAAGGATTAGTGCCAAACTCAGCCTGGGAAAGGAGAGGCGCTCTCCTCCAAACCAGCAGGCTCATTCCATTGCTTTGCACAGGGCTGGAGAGCAAAGGTCATACCAAGTTTATGAACAAAGGTGGTGGGGGTGGGGGGTTGTGTAATTCTGCTATTCCACTTCCAGCCCCGCCTCTTATTCAAGCCTGGGATAATCCTGGGTTAAAGTCTACTGTCCCTTGTGGAAAACATGCCTGGGCTTGCAGTGACGGAAAGCATTGAAAGGGAAAGTGACAGGCCAGAGACTCTGCAGGGCTGAGGCAACTTCCTCTGTGCGTTGCTGTTAGAACAGGGGATGAGGTAAAATGCCTGTACCTGGTGATTGACACCCGAACTCCCAATGCTTGATAGTGGTCTGGAGGAAGACTTCCTGTTTCTAATTCTAAGTGTCACTGGGTCCTATACAAAATAACTACTAATGAACCAAGTTACCGGAGACAAAAGGATGGACATGTAGTTGACCTGACCTAACTTGATGGTTCTATGAAAAATTCATTGGTAATAGCACTTACATTGTCTAGGATTCAGTTTCCTCACCCTGTAGGGTGGGGAAGATGTAGACTAGACCACATCACTTCAATATGTCCACAGGAAACCAGAATACGTCACCATAAATATACCTCTGAGTCAGGATCATTTTGAGCCGAGTGAAAAAGTACTTAGCCACAGAAGCCCTGAAAATGGCATACTGCTCTTTTGTAAGAAAAGAAAAATGACATTTATTAAAAGAAATCTCAATTCCCAAAGGATGTTTCCTGCACCAGAAAAAAAAAATGACGATTTTTATCAGTGGAAAATAACAATCCTCACCCCTGTTCCTGATTGCCTTCTCGTTCTCCACACTCTTTCTGGCTTAAAATAGCATTCGAACCTCAATTCTAAGCCACCTCTAAAAGCACCCATTTCGCCGTGTATCTTCCATGTATTTGAATAATCGTTTGTTTCTGAGGTTAATCTGCCCTGCTTGAGGAACCACAAGTATCATTTAGAAAGGTAGGAAGAAATATTATTTTCCCTCTCGTAACACAGCAGTATTTTCCATTCAGCTTTGTATTAAGATGACATAGGCATTTCAATAGCTAGTAGCGTTTAATACAGCACATTAACAATACTGAACAATACTCCATGAGCGCCCGCAACATGGCCATCGGAACAAAAATGGGTCTGCCTCTGCGTTGTTAGAACTGAACAGTTAAATTCTGAGCGTATTGACAGCCAGTCAGTTCGCCCCCCCCCCCTTCACCCCACTGGGAGGGCTTGGATTGACTCTGCATACTAGGACAGTGACATCGCTTCTCTTAGTGAGCCATTTGATCCACGCAATTTGAATCACCCACTTGGAACAAGAAGTCATATGTGACTTCAATTGTAAAATCATAATTAGCAACGGGGCACACTTCTCAGCGCCACTGTCAAAGCCCATACTGTTGTTAACCACGGCCCACTCAGACCGTTAAATCGCTTTAATGAAAAATCCCACAGGATGGCGCTCTTGCTTTCCGATGATTAGATTGGCTGCGCACCAAACCTTCGCTGGGCTTCAGGCCCGGGTCCAAGGTTAAGGGCCTGACCTTTGACAGGGGGTCACTTATTAGGCGCTGGGAAGAGGCGGCAGGGGCTCAGATGCTTTCACACTACCGCAGGTCACCCCGATCTGCGACCAGGAGTGTGCTTCGTTCCTCAGCGGCTCTGACTCAGCCGGGTGCCCGGCTCCGCGCGCTCAGGCACTCAGCCGCCGGGTCCACGGAGCCCTAGACAGGCGTGAAGGAGCCCGCTGTGGCGGCGGTGGCTCCCAAGCGCTCCGAGGCTCGCTGGGTGACACCGGTGTCCCCGTCCGGGGTGGTCAGGAGGGCGGTGAGGGGGCGGTGCCAACCCTGCGACTCCCCCGATCATCATCCAGCATCCTTGCCCAACCAGAGACCCGACAGGGCGTCCACCCTTGGGTTTCTGTTTTCCACCTCCAAAGTCAGGGCGTGCAAAGAACCGGGGTCACTTCGCGCTCTGCCACCTCCAAGCCGGGTCGAAGCCACGCGGCCAACTCGTACCTATCCAAGGCTCTAGCTCCAAAGCCGGAGGGCGGGGCGTCCTCCTTGACGTCACGAGACCCCGCCCATCCCAGCCGGAGAATAAAAAGGTTCTCGGCTCGCTCTCGCTCGCACAAGCGGAGCTGGACAGCAGAATAGTCGGTCGGCTGAGGGACCAGGGACTTGAGAACCAGAGCTAGCCCGGACGCGTGTCCGTGCCTCGGAGGTGGCAGCAGGCAGTATCGGGTGGTCGGGCCACGATGGAACTCCTGCGGACTATCACCTACCAGCCCGCCGCTGGCACCAAGATGTGCGAGCAGGCGCTGGGCAAAGCTTGCGGCGGGGACTCGAAGAAGAAGCGCCCTCAGCAGCCCTCTGAAGACGGGCAGCCCCAGACCCAGGTGACCCAGGCGGCACCACACCACCATCATCACCACTCTCACTCGGGACCCGAGATCTCGCGGATTATTGTCGACCCCACGACGGGGAAGCGCTACTGCCGGGGCAAAGTGCTGGGCAAGGTGAGGAGCTGCCGGCCGGCGTCCGGCCCGCGGCCAGCGGCGGAGTGGGAGGGCGGGATGCCAGGGCAAGTAGAGCCGACGGGGACCCTGAGCTCGCGCTTCTCGTTCACCCAGATGTCTGCTCCCCCGCGCGACGTGGGTCCCTCACCTGGGCTTCTGTGCGCCCACAGCGCTGGGGATCGGCTTTGCATCCTCAGCCTAGGCTTTGCTCTTAAGTCCACGAAGGAGGGACTGAGAGCGTTCTAAGTTAGCCCCAGCTCTAGCCACCTGATCCCCTGGGAACTCGACTGTCAAATTTCTTCAGAGGCTATTTTCCACCTTTCCCCCTT